CGGGGGAGAGCGGGGATGTGCACGCACACGCCCTCTGCCTGTCCCCTCCGCTGGGGGCTGGCGATGAATTGGGGTGGGGGCTAAGGGAGGGAGCACGCTGCCTTAGCCTTGGCCGAAAAGGGTTGTGCTGGCTCAGCTGTGGGGACAGAGGGAGGGGGGGGATTGCATGCCCTGAGTATTGGGAATAAGGTGGGGAGAAGTCATCTCCCACCACCGGCGCCTGCAAGTGAACTGCAGACTCTCAACAACAAAAAGCTGCTGAGACTGAACTGAGCAAACTGCACCCGGCTCTTCCCCTCTGCCCGCCACCTGCTGCTCCCAGCTCCAAGCCAGCCTCCTCTCTTTTGCAAGAGGAGAGCGGTGGAGCTGAGATGCTCGAAGGGACTTCTGCCTCCTGCCTGCATGTGCCTCCCCCCGGGGGGACTGGGGAAGGGGGCTGCATCTCCTGGGCTGCCCGCGGCTTCCTCGCCTCTCCCGCAGATGTTTTGGCCTGAGCCTGAGCTGCTGTGGAAGTCGGTGCCCTGAAGACTGAGACTGGGAGGGGAGGGTCATCCCAAGCGAGGCCTGTATATATCTTACCTTTTCTGTCTTGTGCAAACTGGGGTGGTGCAGGGGGTGCTTATTTAAAGTGAGGTGGGGAGGGGGTGCCCAGCTGGGACTTGCGTTGTGCAAAGGAACTTGCCCTGAGTGACTGATGCCTGCTGATGACGTGAGCCTTGAACTGACTCCAGCTGCAGAAGCCACCAGGTTGGAAAGTAAAGCTGAACTGCTCCATCCTCCTTGCCGGACATCCTCCTCCTGATGGATGAGGTGGGATGAGCAAGGGGGAAGGGGGTGATATTGCCATATTATGATCTTGGTGCCTGCTCCTTCCTTTAATGTTGTCTTCTGCAAGTATGTTGATTTGGGTTTATTTAAAAGTTTTATTTTTCAAAAGAAATTACTTTGCACAACTTGGTGGAATTTTTTTTTAAACTACACATTCAATGCACTTGTCATCTGCATACAACACTGTAGCATTGGAAATGTTCTTACTCGGTAACCTCATCTGGGTCTTGTTTTAAATTGTGGTTTCGACACAAGACGAAATAAAACCACTGTATCTTTGCCTTGGAAAAAATGGGTGAAAGCACTGTTCCTTATGCAGTGCGTACATCAGACATTAATACTAAAGCGCAATTTAAAGAATCTAGGTTTATTTAAAACTTTATTTTCACCTGGGTTGGCTACCCTGTGAAAATAATCTTATGTTTCTCTGGTTCAGAGAACAAATGTATCCATCTATGTGTGTTTCCTTTTCTCCCTCTTCCCTCAACAGTGGTACTGAGACTGTTTCTGGTTTTGTTTTTAATAAACTGACATGGCAAAAACTGAGATGTATATGATGTTTACATAAAATTATGAACTGTGTATGCAGTTTTTTATGTAAAGTATTAAAAGATTCTATGCTGACACTTGTGAGAGTGGTGGTGTGATTTACTGAGGCTGTCCTGGGCTTGCTGCTGGACCGGACCAGAGTTTGCCTGCTGCCTGCACGCCCTCCTGCCTATTTTCTCCACCGGCTGATTTACCTGTCTGGCAGCTTTCAGAGGAATGGTGGTGATATTTTCCTTTGGGGGAGCTGCTTCCTTAATTTTTCTGTACAGATGGCATGTGGAAATGCACTCAAAATTCAAAATACTCCAGGTGGTGACTTAATCCACCCTGCTGGTAAGCACCAGAAGCCTCCGTGCCTTCTGCATGGTGAGCCTGGGCTCAGCTTCCCACTGCTCCTTCACCTGGTGGCTGGGGTGAGGTTTGGGCTTGTGTAGCAACAAAGCAGGCAAAGAACCAAAAAGCAGCAGAGGCCATAGGGCTTTTTTTCAAGCAAAATATTTAGGTAAAAGCAGGTTTTATTATTGCTTGGAGTGAATGCCCCTCTTTGCTGCAGCGGTCTCTTAAGCTGCCTAGCAATATTTCCTAATTGCTGGCCTTACTAATTCCTGTAGCAGTGTAAAAAGCCTCTTGTTGGGGATCCCCAGCAGGGCACCATGCCTGCCTCCTCCCTCCCTGCTCTGTTTTGGGGGGTGCTCCCTGCCGCCACTGGGGTGCCTGGGCA